GCTCTGCTAGCAGGTCCTCGTAGGCTGCCTGCCAAGGTACACCGGCCTTGTTCATCTCGCGGTTCTGCTCGAGTGCGCGGGGAGAGTATGCGGGGTCGTCGGTCTGCGATGCATCTGCTGGTGGTGGCCACTGCCATGATTTGGACCATGACCAGACGCGAGACTTGTCATCTTCAGGGCTAGGCTCATAGTTGTTGAATCTGGCAACTTCCGTCTCGCGGTCATCCCAGGCCTTGTCGTTGAACTCCTCGGCCAGCCTCTTCGCCTCTGCCTGCATCCGCAGCAATCTTTCCAGCTGCATCCAGTCCCTTGACGTTTCTTCCTCCGAGTTGGCAGATGAGCTTCGGCCGTCGTGATCAAATGGCCGAGGAAAGCCCCAATCCCATGACCATCCCCACTCCTGACCCTTCTCGTTGGCCACCTTTTCAACCAGGCTAGCATCGTCGCGTCGCGCGACCTGCTGCTCGTTGCCTCTCCTTGCACCGCCAAGTATTTCCATTCTTATGTCGTCAGCCTTGCGGTCGAGCCTCATCAGCTCCTCGCTGTTGCGCAAGACAGCTTGCACATCGCCAACTCTGAACAGCTCTCTGCCTTCGAGGCGCAGCTGGGCGATGTCGGCTTCGATGTCGTGGAGCTTATCGCATTGTCTTGGATCGGCCTTGCCAAAAAGGCACTGCTCACGTGCTTGGTGCGCGTTGTTGTAGTTGGCGATGGTGGCGGGAAGGGTGAAGACGGTGTTGAGCAGCGACGAGACCTGGGAATCGGCGAAGCGGCGGAAGGCGATGAAAGGATTGTCTTCGGGTCGGTTGGGATCGCGTCGGGGATTATCGCTGTCGTTCGTCATAGTGATAGATAGTAATGTGGGTGTTGTGATGGCACTTGGCTGATGGTGGGGAAGACGGGTCCGGAGTGATGATGATGCCTGGAGATAGCTGTGGCTGCCTCGGCGATAAGGCCACAAGGCACGCGCCACCCGTTTCGACGCGTCAAGCCATCGCCCCTGACAGCCAACCGTGCTTCCCTCACTCCATCTTTCCAAAACGGACCATCGTGAGGATCGTCATCGTCGCCCAATGAGTATTTCGCATTTCCAGAATGTTTTCGGCCTCTTCTTCGCTATTCTTACCATCACCAAGCATGCACCGCCATAGAACCCAGACATGCTGAGCCGGACATTACCCTGCCCAAGAGCTGCCGCGCTTCTCTAGAGCTCAGGAGTCAGTATGAAGATTCAATATTTCCAAACAACTTTCATCTATCTATAATGGCCCAAGATCTGCCTACATGACTCCACCTACGTATTGAAAGAATCTGTGAGTGTTGCATCGCAATCAAGGCATGATCTTGGCTTCCTTGGAAATCTACGCGGGTTTGGGATCCTCTCGGCAATCTGCAGTAGTCCAACTTCAACACCATCGACAACGCTATCCGCAAAACCAAGAGCATCGCCATCATTTGCTCGAGACATACGCGTAAGGCCATTACGAAAAAAAGCCGCAGTGGATATTTCCAACCCAGCATTATTCAGCACCGCCTACGATCTGCGCCTTATCATCTTACCGCCCGCTGGCAGCCAAGGAGCCAAGTGCGCGGCATGCGAAGACAATTGACTTCAAGACCTTGATCGTCCCGGATTAGAGCCGCACTGCCCAAAATCTGGACCTGCCCAGTTCGAGCAGCCACACAAAACGCTGCTTTCCACTGCCCCGTGATAAGTCTCCACGCTTTAGCGACGCACTGCGCGTCATCCCGAGCGGATTTGGACGGGCAATCCCCGCCTGTAACTCCTTTCACTCATGGGCCATTCCCACTGCGGCCTTATCACTAGCGATCGAATACCCACGTTTCCTGTTTCTGATCTTCGAGGAATGTGTTTTGACAGCTGTGCCAGCGGACTGGGTACGTCACACAGGATCTGCGACACCAGCGAAGAGGGTATAAGTAGCGGAGTAAACACCGCGTCTCGATAACACAACATTGTTTCATCTCGCGGTTTTATCAACATATATCACCAGACGCTTCGCTTTCATCTATACCAATACGACGTATATCACTTGTCCAATCGCTATCCAACGAGAACCTAGAGTCCAAGACCTGCTGGTTTCTCTTCTATAAAGCCCGCCGGAACCATCCTCGACATCTGCAACACCACAACTACTTTATCACTTCCTCATCTCCAACATGCGTTTCTCCGTCATCATCGCCACCCTCCTCGCTAGCGTTGCCGTCGCTATGCCCGATCCTCTCCCACAAGGCTACTCAGGTCCCTGCTCCAAGGACAACTGCGGTGTCAGCGGCAAGGTGTGTTCAGGTGGCGCAATCTGTGTGGGTTGGCCAAGCACCGATCCCGCCCTAAGGAAGGGATGCACCTGCAGCCGGGGTTAAGCATCTGGTGCTAAATTTCTTTGCATTGGCAGGCGTGTGTAAGTATAACGAGGTCGAAAATAACGCATAAGCTAATGCTCAGCAGATGGCATATCATAGCGAGGATGACAGGAAGCATGTTGGTTGTAATCTAGAGGGTGTATTATTCATGAATGATGAAGACAGAATTTCGACCAAAAATGCTTACTATCATCTGAGTGCCATATGAACCTGGAGGTTGTTAAGTCCTGGGAAACTGCCGCTGCGATCGAGTTCGAGATTCGATAACTGAGCTCTTCACTATGTGATGTTGCCTTGGAGTGAGTTCTTCGCGCCTTCCTGGCTTGGCACGCTGGGGCCTCACTTACAACTGGCTACAGCATATGCACTTCAGAAAACCCACCATTCGAAAGCACCGCCCTCTCACCAACGCATGAGTTTGCGACCACAACGCATGCCCCACCACTTCAAATCGACTACCAACATCATCAATCAGGATGTGGAGCACCCAGCTTCCGTTCCGCCCTCCACGTCCCAGGCCATTCTTCGACTTGCCATGGGACGTTCGAGAACAGATCTACAGTTACATCGAGGTCCATGCGCTCCCGCCGTTGTCAAATGGTACCGAGTATGCTGGCTTTGTGCTCTCGTGTAAGCTCGCCGCCGAAGAGCTTTCCTACGTCGCAACCCAAAACTATCGCCACTATCTCGACGAGTTCAAGCGGTTGTCAAAGCGGCACACAGGCTACACCAGCATGATTGCTTTATCAGAGCAGGCACCGACTGGTCAGACAAACCCTTTTGCTCATCTGCGCCGAGTCAAGGCCGAAGTCCCTCTACATAGCGGCATCTGGGGCAGCGCCCTGAGTAACAAGATGGTGTTCACGGCAGCATTGTGTGATATGTTTCACCCTCTCTTCGGACTTTTCTTAGATGAAGTAAACATTCATCTCGTGGCACCTTTCAATCCCGAGAGGAGGGTAAGAAGGGGATGCACGAATGAATTATACAGCATCCATGAGATGATTCACCGTGCGTTCGATCTCGTTGAGACAACGAATTCACAAGTAAGAACACGCACTCCTTATTCCAGAGGCCAATCACTGCGACTTGAAAACGAAATTGGCCGATTCCTTTACAACTTTGAGGCGCAGGTCCTTGGCTTCACGCGTTGGGATCGCGTGAATACAAAAGGCATTTGTTTCTCTTGGGACTGTCGACCAGTAGGTCATGTCGGATCTCCACCAGACATGATGGGCTCCCTCTGGTCGCAAATATTACTTCTTCGTGACTCGGTCGGGACGGAAAAATAGACACACTACCGTGTGCACGATGCAGAGGGCGAGGCAGGCGAGATACGGATCGCAAGTTCTTCGCGCTGGGCTCCCACGTCAGTTGGTCTCCCAAAGTATCTTTTCGAGAAACACAACAAGGTTGCTGCACTGCAGATGAAGAACCTGGACTTCGGCGACGCGGCTATGATCGTAAGGAAGGTGGAAATGTGAGGAAGAGAAAAGGCGTAGGTTGACATGTACGCCGCCGTCCATGCTCTTTCGGCGTCCGATCGGTAATATACGATTTCCTGATCGAGAGTGTGGGTCTCCATCTAGAACACTCCACATGTAGTACGAAATGAAGACTTCCGTCTTACAAAACGACCAACACGATGTACATCGAATGTGTAAACAAACACTTCCTCGACTAGAAGAAGACAAACATCATTCTCCAGGAGCTTCATACAATTGGCGGATGTATCCTACTCACCGTGATCGGTAGCAGCAATCGCATGTGATGAAAAGCAACACCCATTCCAGGTCAGCACACCACAACGCCCATATACGGTGCCTTCCCCGGATAGAAGGACATCCAATATCCTCTTTCCCCGGAAACGCACCCCATATTCCACTCCACAGCGGCTGAAATGCCCCCTGATGAAGCGTGATCGCCACCGGCCCCACGCCCATCAAAAAGTATTCTCCACGAATAACGGCATGCAGAAGCAATACAAGACATTTTGGCACCGGCAATACGCCGCCTATGCATCGATCCTAAAAGATTGCAGTTATGTTCCCCGTGACGCAACGCAGCTTCGCGCAGGGATCGGTTGTTGTGGCACATTGCATTTAACCGCGATTAGAGGCGCCAAGCCTGCTTAACTCGAACTCCCGAAGGGTACACGTGTGGTGCTAAGGAAGACAAGAACCGGCGCCGGAAGCTTCATTTAGATTAATGCGAAACAACGACGTTTCGTTGTCTATACTGCATGGGGGAAGCGCCGGGCGCGCTTTGGGTACAGGCTGATCGACGACGCGCAGGCACTGTGGCGTGTTAGATGAATTGTCCGTCTTCCCGCTACATGTGGGTAATTGTCCTAGGGCTAACGCATACATGTTTCCCCGTACTGGTGGCGGCATGCGCAAGGAGGGACCGAGGTGGGCTTGGTCGGATGGATATTGTTCGTAATGAGCAGGAGGGTGCGGAGATCGCTAATCTTGCGAGCAATATCAGTATAGGGCCGAGGGAGTTGGAGGTCTGGTATAAGTAGTCTGGGGCTCTCGACCTGGATTGAGGTATCCAGCAACCTACGTTCTTTACAGTCCAAGTTCAGTTACCAGTCTCGATATACCATTCTCACCATGAAGATTTCTCTCGTCACCATCTTGTCCGCCGCCGCGCTGGTCCAGGCTGCGCCTTTCGCTGAGCCAGAGGCTCTTCTCGATGAGCGCCAGGCTGCGCAGAGCATCGATGCTGCCATGAAGGCAAAGGGCCGGAAGTACTTCGGTACCTGCGCTGACCCAGGTCGTCTCAACCAAGGCAAGAACGCCGCGATCATCAAGGCGAACTTCGGTGCCATTACACCTGAGAACTCGTAAGTCTTTCCAACCTCCCGAACGCAGTGTTGTGTGCGATACTAACTGCCGGATAGCATGAAGTGGGATGCCACCGAGCCTTCCCGTGGAAACTTCAACTTCGGCAACGCCGACCAGACTGCCAAGTTCGCAAAGGACAATGGCAAGCTCATCCGTGGACACACCACCGTCTGGTACTCCCAGCTGCCCGCCTGGGTCTCCCAGATCAATGACAAGGCCACCTTGACCACCGTCATGAAGAACCACATCACCACCCTGATGAACCGCTACAAGGGCCAGGTCTACGCTTGGGATGTCGTCAACGAGATCGTAAGTTGATCTTCATATCCCGGTCCGACTGGAACATACATTGACCGCCCCACAGTTCGAGGAGAACGGTAGCCTCCGCGCCAGTGTCTTCTACAACGTCCTCGGTGAGGACTTCGTCCGAATTGCTTTCGAGACAGCCAAGGCCGTTGACCCTGCTGCGAAGCGTTACATCAACGACTACAAGTAAGCACATTCTCTCAGACTCCGTCAAGATCATGACACTAACAACCGCGTAGCCTGGACCAAGCGTCCTACTCCAAGACCCAGGGTATGGTCCGCAACGTCAAGAAGTGGATCGCCGCCGGTGTCCCCATCGACGGTATCGGTTCGCAGGGTCACATCACCTCCGGCCAGGGTGCCAACGCCCCCGCTGCCATGGCCGCACTCTGCGCTGCTGCCCCCGAGTGTGCGATGACCGAGGTTGACATCCAGAACGCCCAGACCTCTGACTGGCAGAACGTTGTGAAGGCTTGCTTGGACCAGAAGAACTGCGTTGGTATCACCGTCTGGGGTATCCGCGACAACGACTCCTGGAGGCCCAACGGCAACCCCCTTCTCTTCGACTCCAACTACAACGCTAAGACAGCTTACAACACTGTCCTCGCTGCTATCAACAAGTAAGCGCGTCACACCCCGTGCACATCGCACAATTTCTGTATATATTTTGGGGTTGGTTGTGGAAGATTTTGTACATACATGGAGGAACAGTAGAGACGTATCTTGGCTTGATGCCCTGCGTTTCAATCAATCTTGTTCTCTCGACCTGTCACGATGCTCTCCTTCTGTGCACTCTTCAATGCCTTGATGATACTGACGCCAGCATCCGCGCTGGCTCCCACTTCAGCTTGCTTGGTCCAGAAGATGTCGGCTGCGTTGATGCGGACGCTTTTACGCCGCTCGCGCTCTGTCACATCAAGATGGGACTTCTTCTCTGCAGTTGCTTCCAGCTCGTCCAGATGCTTCTTTCTCCTTGCATATCGCTCTGCTCGCTCTTTCCGAGTCTGCTCCGAACCGATTCTAGATAGGGCAAACCGCACAGCAGCTCTGAAGCCCATGAAGATGTGCTCGGAGATGAGGATCGTCACTGGTAAGCTGGCCCACGTGCTCAAGCCAAGATATTCGCCGAGAAATCGCTGGGAGCCGAACATGTGTACGATGGCCGCACTGGATATACTCCCCAGCCATGTCAATGATTCTAAACTGGCCACCCACGGCCCGATTCCGTCACTACGTGTGGGGTGAGGACGCTGATATTCGACACAGATCTTTAGGAAGTCCGACCGCAGCTCGATCCAGTTGTTGATGAAGAAGCCGATCGGCACTAGAGGCCATACAGGGCTGAAGAGCGCAAGGTAGCCAAATTGAATGACCATCTCCGCAATGTCCTCTTGGACGTTGTATGATGGTCTCAAAGCTTGCCGTCTCGTGCGTCGTAGGAAGCGAGATTCCGCTGGATCTTCTGTAGTTGGACTCTCGTACGAGTCACTGCTGCGGTTTCGTGTTCGGCTCGCTTGTCGATCACGCCACCATTGCTTGATCTGTGTCTTCAGCCAAGGTAGTGCGAGCTCTTCGACTGCGCTCGAGACCTGTCCCGTTACGGTGAGCGCGATGACTTCGTTGCGCAGGCGGTCAGGGTCAGCCTTGAACACCATCTTGGTTCTGTTTTGCGCGCCTAATATGGCATCGATAACATGTTCCAGCAACGGTATAAACTGTCCACCGAAGGGTACGTATACGAATGCTGTGAGAAGGATTGGTAGATAGTTGGTGATTGAGTTGAGCACAAAGATCTTTTGAGTGAGCGACATTTCGTAATGATCAGCTGTTCGATGGTTCTCGTATTCTGTCAGCGCAGTAGCAACGTCTTCCAGAAAGTTCGTCGCGTATGGCAAGAAAACTGCAAGAAGCACCGTAGGCAGGTATTCCTAGTGAAACGTTAGGAAAGCGCAATGGGTGGGACTGGGCATGTACTGACGAGATAGAACTTGTAAGGCCCTTCATAAGCTTCTCCAATGAAGGTCTCGATGGTAAAGACGAATGCGATCAGAATCCCAAGTAGAAGAGTGCTGACGAGGACGAATGGTATGACGACCAATTGGCGCACAATCCTCTTCCATCTTGGGAACACATGCCGAACTCGTCCAGCTGAGTCAATGATCTCTTGCTCGTAGCGAAATTGCGGACGGTTGACTTTGAGGTCGCCAACTCCTCGTACTTTCCATCGGATTGCAAGGTCGGTTTGCTTGATCTTCCAATACTCCAGGAAAACAGTGCACCAGACTCCGATCAGGAGCGCGAACACCAGAGAGTATTTCGGCAAAAACGTCCAGGCAAATACACCAGCAGCGCAAGGGAATGCCAAGGATCGAAAGTAAGTCTGGATGAAGGCAAAGTAGAAGGCAACTTTGGCACCCCATAGATCACGTATACGGTCCAGGTCGGCTGGTTCCAAGAACACCCGAGTGCTCAGATGGGCCAACAACGCGCGGTTCGCACCTGAGTTGTGTAACGGGAAGATTGCGGTCACATTTTCCCATGGTGGAAACTCTGGTGTAACACCTGCGCCTCCAAGCTCTTTGCGCCAGTTGACAAGGTGATACATTGAAAGCAGATCTTCGGCTTCGAACTCTGCGGTGACAACGGTTTTGGCAGTCCCGCCAGGATGGTCTTTGGTGATGCCATATAACCAATCTTTGACTCTGCAACCGTCTACTTAGCCTCCTTCCAAATGACGAGGTTACGGACGAGCTCAACGTACCGCGACTTGTAGACTGTGTTGCCAAGCAGATCTCTGGGCGCTTGGACAAACACTAACAGTGTTTGATCATAGCCAGGGCGTACCTCAGTATTGAGGCCTGCAGACTCTAGGTCATGCAACAGCGTCTTGCATTCTGCGATGGCAACGTCGTCATCTAGTCCTCGTCAGCCGTCCGCTCTAACGCCATGCCTCAATAACAAAACGTACCGACATTACCGAAGTCATACACGACAACGTACTTGTCGTTATACGTGACGTTCGCAAGCTCAGTATCATCGCTCAGCGTCGTATCCGATCTCTTCAAGGGTCTGATTGACATGGCCAAAAGGGCTTAAACCAAGCCGAGAACCAGGGTAGCTGTCGAGACTGTAAAAAGTAGGGTCCACAACTGTGGCTGGAGGTTTTATAGCGTTGAGCCACTGAGGCGTCGTCATCGTGCTGGCCATGGCTTCTGTGGAGTCAGGCAAGCCTCAGCTGTGTCGCGGATTGGTGTTCGGTGGTGGGACCAACGCGTCTGAGTGCCAAACTTAGCACTTGGTTGCCGACTGATCCGAAACCGCGGGGGAAGATGGGCGTTCACTTCTTCGCGTGGGAGGCGCTGTACATTTCGCAGGACGTCGGACGCTGCGACCACATTGATGGAGAAGAAGGTGCAGGGCCTGAAACCTGGAGATGGAGCGACGGAGCGATTGATGGGGATGCCGTCATGTGTGCTCGCCTGTTTGAGACTAGCGCTGGGCACTGTCAATGACGTAAGCTATCGATGGACGCGTCGAGACGCGTTCTCACAACGCCAACGCTTCGCGATCGCTTTGTCTGCACTCCTTTCGCGAGGGCATTTGGGCATAGACAAAGAACACGATGAACATTGTCGACACTGTACCATGATCTAACAGCCGCTCGACTAGATGGACACAAGACGGAAACTCACTAGACTCCCTCTGAAGGCGACACAGCTTCCACCATAACCATGTGTCAAGAGATCACAGTCACACAGAAGTCACCGGTACCCAAATCTTACGGCTTCCTTCCGAAAGGCGACCGCTACAAGACACTGCATTGCCGCAAACTCACCCACGAATCCGGGCGTCCGTTATACATTGTCGTCGACAACCAAAAGAGAACGACTGGCATCCGCATCCCGTTGAACGTTCTGCACAAGGTCAACAAACAGTCGAAAGAAACGTTGTCAACTCGTCGCGCAGCTACAACGAAGCGCGATGCAACTGACATTGCCAACGCAGCTGCTGGGATGGACACGCAGTTCCCGAAGATACCAGCGTCAGAGAAGCAAGCCGTACTCAAGCACGGCTTCAAGAAACATTCTGGTAGAGTCGGCCGAACGAGCTCAATACCGTTGTCTCGGAAGATCTTGTTTGCCGTCATTGCGCATGTCCGCCATACGCAAACTGACTATGATGCCTTGTTGAAGAGTGGAAAGAGCAGGGAACATGCGAGGAAGATCACGAGAAAGGGTATTGAGACAGTGATGCGGAAGTGGGGATACACTAAAGGTACGAGAGGGGAAGCGCCGACTTCACACAAGCTGACTTACTGATTACAAAGAACTCAACTGGTACTTCCGGACCGAAAGTGCATAGAGTCGAGAAGATGAGACTGCTCGAAGAGGAGCAAACGCATATCATATGGTATCTGCTATGCAAAAAGACGTTTCCAAAACCCATTCACTCCACGCTATGCCATGACCCAAAGCCCATTTGACGCCTGCCCGACTAAGTGACTAAAGCCGCATAGTACGTGTTCTGTCAGTGAAGAATATTCAGACCCAGGGCTGGTGTTCATGTATCCAAAAGTATCGCCTGCAACCACTAGCCGTCGTCTGAATCGACGACCATACTCTCCCCAAAGGCACTAAGATCCTCCTCTGCTGCGCCTTGCGCATGCCGCCTTCTGCGACCTCGCCTACCCGCAACGCGATTCTGTTCGATTTCGCGTAGCTTGCCGTTCATTCTCCGTTCTAGCCCTTCGATCTCTTCGTCTTCATCTGCGTCTCCTGTCATGTCCGGTCCTCCCGCTGTTCCAGACTCAAGGAGTCCGCTATCTGACTCGTTGATCTCTAGCGCGCGATTGAGGAGGTCGGTAGCCATGGGGTCCTGGGGCGAGACAGCGAGGGCTTCGTGCAAGGTGATGATAGCGTCCCAACTCCGATTGAGGTTTAGGAGAACCAGGGCTTTCGCGGTGAAGACACTAGGGTCCTTTATGCCATGGCGAAGCACCTCGTCGAATGTCTCGAGTGCTTCGCTGTACTGCTCACACTTGCGAAGCGCATGGGCGAGGTTTATTCGCGTGGGTATCCAGGCATCTGGGTCTGCTTCGTTCTGCTCTGAGAAGGCTAGCGCACGGCGGAAGAATTGTATAGCGTCCAGTAGTTGTCCTTCGTGGAAGTAGACAACGCCCATCTCGTTAAGAAGGCAAGGATCGTTCTCGCACAGATCGTACGACGTTTTCAAGTACTCTCGCGACAAACTCAGATTGTTCAATTGGAGGTTTTGCATGCCGAGGAAGAGCTGTGGCAGATGTGAACCCTGGAAAAGGCGTGCCGCGGTGGAGTAGGCGGAGATGGCTTGATCGTGTTCCCCTTCTGCGGCAAACGTATGCGCGAAGCCTATCCAGGCAGGGCCAAAGTGTGGGTCCATCATGGAAGATTTGGAGAAGTAGCGGCGTGCCTCAGCTATGCGACCGATGGCGAGATAGTAGGTACCGACGGCGAACCATGCGCATGGTTCTGAGGGGTTCGTGTCTGCTAGTTCGTGCGCAAGCAGAAACAGAGTGTTCTTTTCGCCGAGCTCGTGCAAGGACGCTATGTGTATGGGCATAATGTTGAAGTTGTACTTGTCGTTCG